GGTGTGTGATCACTTAAGCCGTGGTTTGCGCGGGCTGTGGTTAAGCCAACAGGTCCCCCTCCAGGGTGCGGTCTATAAAACAGGGTATGTTGCAGGCCTGGCATAGAAAAGGTGAATCAGTAATTTTAATGAAGGCCCTTTTTGGGACTTCTTGCGGCAAGGCCCTTCCGCAAGCAGCCCCTTTTCTAGCCCGCAGGTAACCAAGTCCAACACAATTGGGGACTAGTGGTCCACAAGATATATTATATGTTATATATTATATATTGATTATATATTATATGATTAATGTATTATGGAAATTTGCAGGGGCAAACGCCAGGGGACCCTTCCAAAAATATTGGCCATGTTTTAGGCAAGCTGCCAAAATTATGTGATTTTGTTGGGTGGGCTTGTAAGGCAGGGGTGTCAGAAGCCAGCGGAGAAAATGAGAATGGTATGAACAAAAATTGGCTGCCCGAGGGCCTTGAGATCATTTGTGAGAGAGTTTGGAGCCCACTGCGGGAACATGCGTGCTGTGATTTAAAGAGGGCTAAGGCAGAAGCAAGTTTGTGGCCACTGTTGGAGGGCAATGCATCTGTTTTACAAAGGCAACAATGCAAGAACAAGACAGAGGGGAATGGGATTGTTTGCTTAACAAAAAACCTATAAAACCAATCTGCTATCCAGGGTCCACTGTGGGGAGAATCAGCGAGTTTGATAATGAAAGCCGCGATTGGCCCCTCTTGTTTATCGACCATGTCCAGTCGGCCAACCTCCCACTGTAAATGATAGTAAAACCACTTTTGCTGAAAATTAAAAGATGGCCTGTAAAAAGTTAAACCCACAAAAGCTTTGCTGTTTCAGGCATTTCACCAAAACAAAACCCCAAGGGGCCAAAACCACAAGAACACTGCCACAATAACCAATTATTTATTTTCTGTTTTTGTTTGGCCTTCTGCTGGAATTTGTTTTTCAAACCTTGGCCACTTCAGCCAGCATTCCTTTCTCCCAATGCACCCCCAACCAATCACGATATGACCTTATTGAACATTTATGGGGAAATTTTACTTTGAAAATTTCTTTAATTAAAACAATCCAAGTTTTACAGGCAATTTGTACTTCCCTGGAAGGACCCCACAGAATGTTGTGTATTTTCTCCAGTGTTAGAAAATATTAAGCTTTTCAAAGGAACCAACCAAAAAAATTAGTTCCTTGGGAGGTTCAGCCACCATTTGGTGGCGAGTACGGCCTTACAAAAGGGATACAGGTTTCTAAACATTAAATCGCCTTTTTTGAAGAACCAAACTTTATGCGAACACCCACAAAATTTTGCTCCTTGGTGGTAATTTTGAATAATTTGCATACCCTATTTAAAACCCGTTGGTGTAACATTTAGAGGAGTCTTAATTAGGGCAATGAATGTATTAATTATAAACGTATTGTCGATTTAAGTGTATTAAATCACTTTGTGTTAAAATGGGTTTACGTAACTTAAATCTGTCATTGTTGAAACCTATAGGCCAATATTTTACAGATTTTAAGGCCCCCAGAACAGGGAACCAAACCCAAAACCACTGGCTTTCAGAATAAGGAAGCCATTCAGCGTTTTTCATGACGTTTCGCAGCCCCCACCATAGTTTCTTGTCCTGCCACCTATAGAAGGCTGGAAGCTGGTATTTTCAAAATTTTAGTCAGGGCTGCAAAATATGGGCTGGACCCCAAATAAAATTTCTAGACAAAAGGGTTTCTCAGTGGTTTACAGTAGTATCAGATGTACTTAAAAACATACTAAAAGTTTACCAAAGTTTGACTCCAAGAAAGGAGAAGAAAGAAACAGCTGAGAAACCTTTTGTTCGAATTTTTTTTAGGGTTAGGTGTTTTTTTTCATATATGCAGCCGCCTATACACAGAATAAGAATTGACTCAAAGTTATTCATTCATCATCTATGATGTAGTACTGTACGTATATATTACTGCAATTTTCTTCAGAAAAGTGTCCTTTCTGAGTACACCATCATGATTTGGATGTAATTGACATTGAGAAAGACGAAGAACACCTACCTGCTCACTTATTTCAAGTCACTCTGGATAAGTGAGTCAGCTAAACACCTAAAATGTAAATTAAATAACCTGCCTTGACTGCTGCTCCCAGACGCTCGAACCATCTGTTCTGAGCATCTCATAGCTGCGGTAAAAGAGAGAGAAATCTCAAACCCAGCGAGAGAAGTGACAGGGAGCGCATAATGAAAAACAGTCGAGACGTCGGGCTGTGTTTCGACTGTGATGCCAGGAAAAGCAGGAAGAAAATGGCTGAGGAGAAATATTGAGTCTAAACAGTAAAAGGGACACGAGTTGACAAATTACTATTTCTCTTTTAAATCCTCCCTCTCGTACTGATCCGAGTGCCAACACACACACACACCCCCGACACGCAGCATTTCAACAGGCGTGCTGAAGATGAGGACATAATGTGTCACTGCAGCAAAGCATGACAGCTCAGTCAAACGCGAGCATCTCCTACACCTGCATTCTGTTATGGACCGATTCCTCTTATCACTTATTGTGTCTCAAACATCCAGGTTGATCTCATCATGCTGCCAAATCACAGGCCTAGTTTACATCAAGCCAAAACCATTTATATAACAAAGTATTCATTGTGCATCTGTTCTGCCATGTCTTGTAATGGTATATTGACTGCTGTTATGTTATCAGTATAAATGATCTTTCTGATCACATCTGCTTTGCTGATCCCTGATACTCCTCTCATATTTGATCTGTTTTATCATGGGTTTGTGTTATATGGTTAGTTACCTCTGTGTTTGATGTGCTGCTGCCACCTAAGTCAGTGAGGCACAGTGAGACAGATTAAAGCAGGAATTAGACTTTCTGTGTCTGTGAGTATGCAAGGGTCTGTGTCAAATTGTCATCAAAGGGTGTATGTGTAGGCTCTATATGGACATCTGTCAATTTGTTGTGACCACGTGGACTGTCTACACAGCCACTACACTGTAGGGAACACGTCCTCCAAGCGCACTCCAAAAAAATAGTCCTAGTTTCTTTTTTCAAGGTTCGAGCGTCTGGGAGCAGCAGTCAAGGCAGGAAGAAGTATTTCAACATGTAATGATTTCTTCAAATTTAAAATGAGCACATCAGCGTAACAGACTGTAACTTGTACTCCAGCAGGCGGCATTCCTAAAACACTCCGTCCATTTGACCCACTGAATGTAATCTGTAAGCATGGCTATGGAGAAAACAGGCTAGCCGTGCTGAACAGATAATCATTACATCAAAACCACTTGACTGATTTGACACATAAATGAAAAAATAGTGGCTTAAAATAAGGCTGTTTGCTTGGTTTGTAAAATGCAACTGTCTTATAATAACGTCAGCTTGTCACTCAAGCGAGGCAGCAGAGGCACCTTCGAGGGAATGGAACAACATTAATCAATGTAGTTTTGGATTAGGCTACGTGGACTGCATTCAAATTAATCAGGACAAATTACTTGTTAAGTCTAATTAGTTTAAACCATTTTTTTAAGTGACAGCTATAATATGTGTAGACACTTGCAATCAGGGTCTTGAGATAAATTCAGTAAGCTGTGAGTGTGTATGTAGTGTGAGTGTGTGAGTGTAGTGTAGTGTAGTGTACTAACCTTGGCTCACTGACCATGGAGATCACACATTTCCGCTGTGGCCCCACACTGGTCCAAGTCTTTGCCAGTGCTACAATTGCACTGGCATCAAGTAGACCATATCCATATGAATGGCTAACTACAGAGACCAGAGAGAAAAAGGAGAAACAGACACATGAATGTTGGCCTGCTGAGAGCAGCATCCTCACGCAGTTCCAACTTTATAGACCAGCTACACAGTGTGTATCTCATTTTAAGCTTTCACACAACCGCTCTGTCCAATTCTGGGGCCTTCCATCTCTGAAGGCAATTTTGGTTTATTGTATGTATAACATATTAATGAGCCTCAAAGGCGTCTGCAAACTGCAGAGGGCAGAAGATCATTTTGAAGGAGGTGCCGTACCTTTCCGCCCAACCCCATTGGTTCTCCAGTCATTGGTGAGCAGGTGGGCAGGGTGAGAAGTTCGTACAACCAGATGTTGCATGTCCCTCCAGGTCAGGTTTTTACTGGAACATGTGTATATGCAAGCACACACAGACACACACACACAGACACACACAGAGCCACGTAAAAAGAGAGAGAGAGAGAGAGCGATAGAGAGACACATACACGCACACACACACATACACAGCAACACACATGGTAAGACTAAATAAAGTTGAGGCACTCAAACAGATCAAACAGACGCATCTGAGAATACATCCTACAGTCTTAACTTGCAGGTGGCCAGCTGATTAAATACAGAATACAATAAAGTACCAGTCACATTCTTTCCTGAATTACGTTAAATCTTAAATCAACATGTGTTTCAACTCAATTTCTGTCCTTTGGCAAACTGTATAATAAAGTGAAAACCTGAAAAGTGCAGGTTTGAATGGATGTGGCCCAAAAAAGGGTTACAGGAGGTCACAGTTGGGTTTAACTTTAAATGTTTTATCTTATTATCCTCTAATTGTGGATTTACCAAAATTAAAATTATATTATCTAGCAACTTTGCTCAATCACTTTGCTCAATCACTTTCTCATCAAATCCGTTCCTAATTGCAATCTTTTTCTATCACTTCACTCTTTTTTGCCACAAGACTAATTACTCATTTTCAGGACTGTTCTGTGGCTCATGTTTGTCCCTCCATTAGTGCTGCGTGACTGGATAAGAGTGATTAGTGCTTACATCAAATTGTGCTGTTTTTGCAAATGCTCTGCAAAAATCTGTCAGGCAGATAGGGTTAAAAAGTAATTCAAAAAAATGGGATAATCAAGCAGAATTGATGCATTAACATGCAGCACCGGCAGTTAAATCCTGATTTAGAGTGTTAAATTTATAATCGGCTTTCTAAAAGTCTTTGCCAAAAAAAAAAAAGGGGGAGGGAAATATTTTACCTGTTGACCAATTTGCAGTTAGGAAACTTCTAACCACATGCTAGAAGCTGATAACAGTCAGGCATTAATTCAAACTACTTTGGCTTTTAGAATATTTTAATGTGCATATGCATTCTGAAAATTACAAATCTTACTCTGGAATAATTACTTAACAGTCCAATCGTGAGTTTGTTCTGTACAAATTCTATTGAACAGTTTTGTATTACATTGGATTAAATGATGGTAATCAACAAAAGTCAGTGAAATATGGAGAAAGGGAAGGTTAGAATGAGGCTGTAGAGCTGAAGAGAATTTCAAGTCTTGGTAAAACTCAGAAAAATGGTGATAAGCACTTACTTGGCCTCAAGGGCAAGGGCGATGATCCCAGCAGCCAGCGGGGCGGAGGCGGAGGTGCCTGTGTGAGAGTCTGTGCATTTTGATTTGAGGTCTGTAGTCACCTAAGGAAGACGAACACGGTTGTGCTTAAATAGACAAAAACTGACAATGTGGAAAAATATTCTCGAAACATTTACCTTAAGTTATTCTTCCAATTCTGTTTTATAACTTTGGTCCATCCTCATACACTAATACAAATCCTACACTTTTACCACAACGGAATAATTCTGAATAAATTCATAAAATAACTGAATTCTTTTCATCTGATAATTTCACTCACTTCTCTTACTATCTCATATGTATTTGCTCCCTGGACCAGCTGGAAAATCAAAGCGGGGAAATGGTATAACTAATGCTCACCCTCTCAGCTAACAGTGAGATGTCTTTGAGCAAGACTCTTTTTAGCTCCAGTAGAGATCTCCTCAGCGACCCAGTTGTACTGGGCAGCTCCCAAGAGCGAATTTCTACAGCTGCATGAATATATGGCAAAGTGGTGCAGAACCAGCATGTTTGTACTCAGCACAATCCATCTCAAGAAGGATAACGGTTACAAAACAGTCTTTTGAAAAAGCTCACCCACGGTATAATCCTAAAGGGGAAGTCAATCTATGTAAGACTTGAGAATTTAAGAATAAGAAGTCTACTCTATATGCGGACCAATGCAGAGCCTCCAGAACCTCATCTTTTAATGGACTAAACAGAATAATAAATGAATTGGCAGAACTGATTTTAATGGAAGCTTTCCTTATCCCACTTACTTTAAATTGAAAAAGAGGGATAATATAAGTGTAATTAAAAAAAAAAAAACACAAATTAAGATATTTACTGCTGCATAACCCCGGAGATCCCACCCTCTCTCTTCTCCATCTCTTCATTCCCGAGTTCATGAGTGACAGCACAATTAAATGAGTACAGCACTGAAGCATTAAGGGACCAGCCACATGTCACAGAGATGTCATAAGCTGTCCATCCAGTTGGTCTGGCTGCTAGACACTATGCTAGAGAAAGAGTGTGTGTGTGTGTG